GATTCTATGATTCTATGATTCTAAGCTCTTTCCACCTATGGGATGCTCTCTGGTGATTTGCTGCCTTCTCATGGCCTGCCAGATTTCTAGCCAGATTTTTCCAGTCCTTTGTTCCTGCAGAACCCAATGTGGCTGGAAAATTAGACTGGAAGAGTCTGCAACAAAAACAGGATGCAGCATTCTGGGTTTTTGAGTACATACGCCATGGCCTCTCCACTTTGTCACCATTGGGGATTTCACACCAGTAATGTGTTGGATGGAAACTTCTATTTTCATTGTCTTTGGGGAACAAGAAGTTTTTCACTTGCTGTGGCCCATGCAGTACAAGGAAGTCCCTCAGGCCACTGCTCAAGTGGGTCCACAGTCCTGGATCATCTAGACTTAAGGAACTAAACTCAGCAGCGGCTGTTTCTTGTGTCTCCACCACACTCCTCTCTGATCTACACTTTTCTTCAGGAATGTGCATGGTTACACCCATTTGAGATGGAGATACGGATGCTGCAGTAGCTGCCAGGTCACCTGCACTCTGACTAACTGGAAGATCAGGCATCTCCTCACCACTCACATCCTCACTGGGGCCGGAAGGTTCACCGTGAACATTTGTGTCTGTGTATCTCAGGAGAGCTCCTTCCTGCTTAGATAGAAAAGCTTCCTTGGCTTTCTTTCTTTTTCTGAACGCTGCCCCAGAGGGGCATTTTCTTCTTTCACTCATGACTGCTGTTCTGTGCCAGCGATAGCGGCTCTCAACACTCAATTGAAGGGGACAAATAAGCAGGCTGGTAGCAGGGTCTGAGGGAGGGAAGATATCAGCCTCTTAAGGGCCTAACTGGCTCCTACTACTTCAGTTGACTGCCTGTTCGCCTCAAGTGGGTTCAGGAAAGCAGCAGGAAACAAGAAGCTCCCTGAGAAGCTGGTGTGAATCAGTCCAGGCTCCTGGGGGTGCTAGCGAGGTACATAAGAGTCTCCTCCTCCTCTCTCTCTCCCTGCATCTCCTGCTGCTTTCTGTTATTCCCTCTCCCCTTTTCTCCTGCCTGCCTGTGATGTCTCTTGTGCCCTCCTTCCTCCAGCACAGCTCCACCATCTCTGTGCATCTAGGGCAGAGAGAATACATATGCACCAGCAGCAGACACAATTTTCGACACTCTGGGTCCTAGTGGCGCACCCCCGCCCCCAGTCTGGCCCCTAAGGCGGCCACCTCTGTTCGCCTCATGGTATGGCCAGTCCTGCCACCACTGCTCCAGACTGGGGCAGAGTTTGGACAAGGGGTGAGACCCCCTCCCAGAGTCTCACCTGCCCCTGGCACCCTGCTGCGGCCAGGCCATGACGCCTCCTTTGTCTTCTCTCCTAGGGAAGAGGTATTGTTTCGGGGAGATGCTGGCGCGCATGGAACTCTTCATCTTCCTCACCAGCATCCTGCAGAACTTCCGCTTCCGCTCCCCCGTGGAGCCCAAAGACATCGACATCTCCCCGAAGCTGGTCGGGTTCGCCACCCTGCCCCGCAGCTACGAGATATGCCTGGTCCCGCGCTAGCAGCCCCGCGGAGCCAGACGGGATTTCTGGGGGCAGCCTTGGGGAGGGAGGGGAAGGGAGAAACCTGGGGATGTCAGGGGCCAGAGCAGCCGGGGACAGCTGCTGGCCTGCTCCCCGGCTTACC